CCGTCGCCGCGGGGGCTGCGGTCGGAAACGTAAAGCTTCCCTTCAAAACCGCCCCTGGGCGCGGCGGGTGGCAACCTGCGAGGTCTTGTGGTTTTCCGGCCATTTTTATTTCCGGGTTTGAAACACAGTGGGCTGGTTTTTAATGCAAACCTTTACTTTTCACCTGGACGTTTCCATACTCGATTCGTCCACTTCCATCGAGAAAAAGACAGTCAAAATAAGCATCCTGAAAAGAACAGGACCTACGTAAGGTTTACCCAGTAAGGAACAATAACATTATACACAACGGTAAAGTTACTGATCTGCACACTTGAAAAATAGATTTTAATAGTAACGTGATTTAGCGCGAATGAATTGTGAAAATAACCGTGAGACAATAAGTCTCATTCACATGAATAATGAGATAGCCTAGAAAACGGTGCAAAGAGGAAATGATTCGCTTTTAAAATACGACTCTAGTTCGAAACTGACAAAGAAGAGTCAGACTCTTTCAATGACAAAAAAAAAAATAAAGTATTTATCTTTCACTCTTAGAGTCACGTAAGTTTATGTAACACACTCTTAAAAGTTAAGAAAGTAGCCGCAGAAAATTCCGAAATAAATATTTTCGTGGAATTCATTACAAATTTGGAAAATGCTTTGTCGAAAAGTCTCTTCAGTCCTAATGTTTTTTTAAACATAGAATTGGAATGTGGAATGGAAACATTGGACTGAATTGTAGTTATAAGAAATTGTAGTTGGGCATTTGTATCGTGGTATGGTGTTGTTATAGGGTTCAGTATTTATAAATGTGTTTATATTAATGAACCTCACTATTTGTAAATTGACCTGTATGTAAACGTCGAATTGGGTATGAATGAATTATTCTTGATAGTTCATGAAACATTAAACTAGGTTTTCGAAAGACGATAGTTTGCTTGTTCAGTTTTGTTTTTATAGATTTAACTGCTTTTACTGCAGTCATAAAAACAATCTGCACATTTCATCAACTTTTATTCAAGGACGTATGTTTTTTTCCGACATTTTATGATCTTTTGCGGCCATAAGTCATAAAGATTAACGAGACTAGAAGAATCTACTTATTTTGTTGCTATATAATTTACACAATTTAATATTCTGAATATTAATACTTCCTGGCAAGAATATATTTTGGGAAGTTTGTTTAATAAATCCAATTTTTTATCTGAAGGAAAGAAATTATATACTTAAGTTACAATGTAGTACAGATGGTCAGTTTAATAAGTGTTCCAAATGAGAAGGTATATGTGGTTTTCTATTTTTAATTCCCAACTTTTAAATCTAACATTGAAATTAGATCCTCAAGATAAATTCTCAATGTTCATATTCTCAACATAATTCTGATATAATACAATTCATTCCAAGCCTTTCTGTCATCTCAGTCATTGCGAAAATCAATATTCCATACTTCTTTATTGCTTTTTGTCGTTTCTAAAACATAGCGGGTGTTATTTATTGATGATCTGTATTTGAAACACGGAGAATACTGACGATATCGCGGTCAAAGGTGCAGAACCCCCCTAACCTTTGGAGGGTAATATGAGCCAGAAAATAGATTCTGGGTTCCTCCCACGTTATAGCTCTAACGCAGTTCCCAGGGCTGTAATAGAGCCCGGCAGTCTGGCCAGTCCGTTCACGTGTTGCGATTATCAAAGCCGGTGCGGAGAACTTCCGAAAATTGAACGAGTTCGCTTAATGGGCTTTAAAAATATTTGCCCAGGGACTAAGGGCAGTTTGCTAAGTCGATTACTCTCATCGCGTTCAGGCCTCGAATGCAAATTGGGTGAAGGAGAAAAGATAGCAGAGAACAAAATGTTCGTCCAACAACGAAGTGATAGTGTATTATGTTTTCTTAATCATTTTCCGCATATGAACGGTTATTTCGTGAGCGGTAATATAATATTGATGGTGATAATAATAATTACTCAAGGTTTCATAATCCAACAGTAAGAATTCTATTTTGGTGAATCGAAAATACATTTCACCTGAGCATGAGTTATTAACTGTTCAAAATACTACCAATTTTTAAAACCGTAACTGAAATATTAATTTAAAATGTTTATTTTAATAAAATTAGAACACATTATGCTTCTACCTCCTGATTATCAAACTTTTGTTTAGAATGCAAAAATTTGATAGAATAATCAAATTTTGGAACATAATTATAAAATGAGAACTCAGGTTTTAATATTATTTTATGAAATATGTACAAATGTTTTAAGCTATGACAAACGGTAACGTTATGACAATTGTTTCGAATCCAATTGGACAACAAAATTTTAGATTCCATCTTTTGCTCTTGGTAATAAAAATAAAACGATATTAAGTTGTCTTTAATAATGAATGAACAAACTAGTGCTGTCTAGGTATCTTATTTTAAGAGCTTAAGCGCTTTTGGATAGCTTAGCAAACCAGTCGCTTGGTGGAAGAAAAATTCATCTCTCATAATTTCACGATTCTCTATGCACGAAATGTTTACTGCCAGGTAAGTCTGATTATGAAAGGAACTAAGAATTGAATGGCAATGTGTTGCATTACTTTAATGCGATTGATTAACTTGATTATAAGTACGATAATTTACAAATACATTTTTGGCTATGCCTTGTAGTTCCCGAGCCAACAAACTACTCGTAAATTTCTAACTAATCACACCCTGACATACTGCTCGTAATCGCAATTGCATCAGAAGAGAAGTCACTGGCGAGTGAACACTACGTGGGAAGGGGGGGACGTCTTAGCAAGAGACGAAGCAAACTCGTTAGCGAATGAGTCCATCTGCATAAGTGCCCCTCCTCGCAGCACGTGCGGTGCGTGACCGGCTTCTGGGTCACGCGCGTGGGCCCTTCGAAACGCGCCGCGCACCCCTTCGTCCATCGGGCGCAGACTCGCTATCAATTAAGACCCGGAATATTGCAGCTGTCAAGGCCTTTACGAGCCAAGGGTTACGTCGGCCACCCTCCCCTCCCTATCCCACTCCCCCCGCACTGTCCCGCCCCGCTC